CCCCAAAACCCCAAAACCCCAAAACCCCAAAACCCCTTAATTGGTTCGAGTCATTGAAATTAAGCTGTTAGTGGCTAGGATTTTTTGAACTTATTCAAAAAGCTCTGTGCATTGGCAGCAACATCATCATAGTCTCCTTTTGCAAATGCTTTGTTCTTAGCATAATTCATCCTTTGGGCCTTACTGAGGCCGAATTGTTTGCCAGCCTTATTATTATATGCTTTATTGAGTCTAAACTCAAGATCTTGTGAGAATTCTTTCATTGAGCCATTTATATTAAGCAAGGTATTGACAATCTGAACTTTATCATCTTCACCAAGTTTAGCATGAGATTTTTGCCTTATATTTTTCATTAATTGTCCAAGTTCCCCGTTTTCACCAATATGTATTCCAGGGTTTTGGCTCTTGGTGTTATGCAAACTTCTCATAGAGTGAGAGTTCTTCTTTGAAGGCTTAAGGTTGTTATTTTAGAAACTTCATGTCTTGAAAATTACCTTTCTCAAGTCAGCGATCAAAATTTTGGCCCTTGAAGTCCATAAACTCAAGGTCTCCTTTCAGATCCTCAACTGTGTCCATATGATGGTTGACATTATCACCTGTTCTCTTGATCATCCGGCGTATATTATCAAGGTGGTCGTATCCATTCCTGACAACCTTTTGTGTGTCAAGAAGCTCCTGGAGCATGTTATTCCTCTCCTTTTCAGAATTATCAGATGACTCATCTAAAGGAGGAGGAGATTCAGGCTCTGGCTCTGCTATTACATCACAAGACGTCAAGAACGTTCTTTTCTTTTTCTGTTGAGCTATTTTATCAGTAATAAATCTCAGTCTCAGCTTATTTACGCTTCTTTTCTTTCTGAGCCTTGGTTAGTTTTTGAGCCTTTTTCTCAGGCTCGAAGGCATTTTGAATGTATTCATCCACAAAATTATTGTCAATCTTTGTTAAGAGGTTGTCAATTCCAGACTGGTGGCTGTTCTTCACTGTTATCTTTGCACCAGGAACAAATTTTCCTTTGACAGGTTTCTTTCCAAATGATTTCAAATTCCTTTCTGTATTTTTAGTTGAAATATCAGGCAAAATGCTAGATTCTTTATTCTTGCTGAGTAGTCCCAGAGTTGAGTTGGAAGCAATAAAATGCGAGCCGATTGAAGGCTCTGCGTTCCTTGTGCTAGTAACATTTTGGATTTCAAGATTAGCACTCCCAGCTCTATTCATCTCCTTCATTTTTCTTCCTTGCTGTAATGAAAAGTTAATGTATAAAATAAGAATAGGTAGGACAAAATAAAGATTTTTAATCTGTAATGAATAATAAAGCATAAAACATTTGGTGCATTGGCTTCGGAATCAGGAGTGATACTGTATGCTTTATTCTAACGAATCAATGGTTTCTTAGTATATGATTTTAAATAAAATTTCATTAAGTCTTCTGAACATTTCTAACTGGAGTGCTAGGATGAGAATACAGATTTCAGCTTATTCTTACCTTTTTAGAAAGGTTTGGACGTGCAGTTATAGTGCTAGAAGAGGTTGGATCAGTTGAACTGACTGGCTGTTTGATTATAAACTTCTTTGAACTCAAAGAAGAAGCTTTTGATCCCATGCCCCTCTTGATCTTAGTCTGAGAAGGAGGTTTTCCCATCGTAAAATTGATCTTCGAACCCTTTCTCGAAGGATTATTCGATACTATAACGATAAACAAGAATCTACTATTGACATATTTCGAAAACCTCTCCATATTTTTATATTCCCTAAGAATTTTAAGGGGTTTTGGGGTTTTGGGGTTTTGGGGTTTTGGGG